ACAAAAGGAAACTCATCTCTTTACCTACTAGACTAAGTTCTATTTGTATAATTTTGCTACGTAAAGATAAGTATAAATTAACCGTTGAATCAAATATTCAATGTCATCGGTGCTAAAATTATTTTTTCATTATATATTTGAATCTTATTTGATATTCCTTGAAGAAGGATTAATTAGTAGAGCACATTGCATATTAAAGGATAACTAGTCAATTACATATATGATTGATTAGATTGGAAAATTAGGATATCCTAACATCTTAAGATAAATAAATTAAATTATAAAAGAATATTTAAAATTAAAGAAATAAAAGGCAAATTTCCAACTACAAATTTTAATGGTGATTAAATACATACCTTACGATTAATATAATTATATTTTTTTATATTTAAGATTGTTTGAATTTAAATCTTAATTATTAAACTAAAAATTCAAGATTTTTCCAGCAGCCAATGTCAAATCACAAACAAGAAATAGAAGTGAAAATAACAAAGCAATCTTCCATTAGACTACTTGTCTTCTTGTAGTTGGATCTCCAAGTTTTTGGACTGCTCCAAATTCCACTTGAGCGTCAAATTTTGGATCAATATATACCGGCAAAAACATCTCTAAACAGGGTTCTACTTCACGTCAAATGCGTCTGAAGAAGAAAAACACAGCAGAGGAAGCATACGCAAAAGTAAACCAACCTCTTGAACTACTACGAAAAACACCATTGGATTTCAAAATAGCACGATTTAATTCAAAAAAACGGTGGGAAGGAAAATTAAAAGAGGTTCTAGAGAAAGTTAACAACCATTATAGTGTAATGATGGAAATTACTATATTGCTTGACCTTATGTCTTCCATTTTCACGTGTTTCCAATCAAATCTTAGGCAGTCAAAGATAGGATAATACGTATTAACTTGGACTTGTCAAAAAAGATATGATCAGGTTTTGGAAACATGTACAAGTTCATTGAGTTTGAACATATTAATTTGGATCACCAACCATAAAGGAATATTGAAGGGAAACAACATTATTTGTTTCCATTGGTCCTCTTTCCTTTTTAGGGCTACTTTCTCTATATTTTTTTTCTTATCAAGAGCTTGGCATTGGCTTAGAATGTCTAATTTTTGGCTGGCTGCTGATCAAATTCTATGTATTGAATTGTACAAATCTACTTCCTACTAAATTGATTATATAAGCATCATTTGACCATTTCATCGATAATTTAAATTTAACTTAATTGTTTGTATCTCTTTAAAAGGATTAAGAATATAAATTCGAATCCAAACTCCATTTTAGAAAAAACCAAGAATTAAGATTGGATTAAGGTAGGAGAAAAAATCAAGAAAATTAAAAATTTATTCAAAATTATAGTGTTTGATTTGGATCGATTTTTTTTTATCAGTTTAGATTAAGTTCGGATATTAAATGTATATATTAGATTTGAATTTGATTTTAGATTGAAAAATGAAAAACAAAAAAAAAATTGAACTAAACTAAAATTATATATTTTTATTAATTTTTATATATATTTTAATTTTTTATAAAATAAAATAATTATTTTATACTTAAATTTATTTAATGTATTAAAATCATATTAAAATAATATATAAAAAATTAAATTTTAAAAATTAATGAATAAAATTGATTCAATAAAATTTAATTCAAATCAAATTATATAAAAATTCGACTCGAATTTAAATCAAATTTAAAAAATTTATAATTTTATATATTATTCAAAAAATTAAATCGACTCGATTCATTCTCACCCATACTATATAAAACCTTTTTTGAATGTAACCAAATTCTTCAGGTACTAATTTTCATGGGTTGTTCTTGAACTGTCTGTAAGCTACATATGCATGCGAAGATTCACTGCAACATTCACTTCATGTCCTAAACAATCATCAAATAAAATAATACATTAAAACCAACTAAAACAGCAAAAACAATAATAAATCATGCAATTGTTCATGGTCGGTATAAACTAAACTGTCATGCACGTGACAAAATGTCAAGGGGGTTGTTTATAAATATTCATAAATTATTTTTAAACTATAAGTCAAACAGTTAAGTAAGCTGCAAACATGAATGTTTATTTAAAGGTTTATAAAACAAAAAATTTAATTTTAATTAATGTTTTAATATATATTCATCCTATATAATAAAAATTTAAATAATTAATAATCCCACTCGCCGACCAATCAGAAATGGCGGTTTTGAGAGATTCTTTCCACTGTGAATCAAATAATTTCAAGTAGCTTTTGAGTTAATAATGAAATTAAAATTATCGGATGAGACAGTTCAGGAATACATAAAAACAGTCGATCGGATTCTTTCTCAGCCGACTTTTTTTCTTTAGGTTGGGAGTTTCTGTCTCAGCCGACTTTTGACAATCAACGTACAGAAATTTCAGAACTATCCAAAGGAGTCCGCAGGGATTAAACGGTGAGAAAACAATTGAAAAATAAAAAATTATTTTAAAATTATAATATTTGATTTTATTTTTATTTAATTTGAATTAAATTTGAATAATGAATATTTATTAGATTTAAATCAAATTTTAAATAAAAATAAAAAATAAAAAATAAATCGAATTGAATAATTTTTTATTAATTTATATATATTTTAAATTTTTATAAAATAAAAAAATTATTTTATACCTAAACTATTTAATATTTAAAAATTATATTAAAATAATATATAAAAACCAAATTTTAAAATTTTAAAAAATTAATAAACTAAACCAATAAAATTTAAATTTGATCCGATCGAATTACACGAAAATTTAATTTAATTTTATAAATTTATATATTATTTTAACAAAATCAAACTGAATTCACGATACGATTTGATATTTACCCTTAGCTGGATGGAATCTTATTGTTTTGGTATGAAAATTTTGATTTGTCATGAGATCTTGAGCTGGTTGAGATATGGGATAAAGCTTATTTCAAGCCAAACTTTTTATTTTTTTTGGGAAAAATGAGAGAGATTCGATTCTGCTTTTTTAACAGAAAAAATAAATATAAGTATTAGTGAACCAAATTCTTAGATTACATACCAAAATGGTTTTAGCTAAGTTGGTAAGAGATAGGAAATTTTTTTTTTCAACTAAGATCCATTCAGGAATAATTTCATGAGTAAAATTTTAAATATATCAAATTTATATGACAAACACACCCTTAAAATTATTTAAAAAAGATATTATTTACAAGCAAAGTTTGAAAACACATCTGATTATATGATTAAAAAATGTTAAGATATTATTTTAAACCAAACTATTAAGATAATATATTCACAATATTTTATGGGTATAATAAATTTACTAATATTGTGTATTGTAATTAGTAAATCATATCTTAATATCTTTTTTATTTTATTTTATTTGAAGTGATGATTGATAGATTATTATTAGAGTTTATGATACTATATCCTAATAGAAGTAGAATCAATTTGCTCCAACTTTCATTGGTTAATCCATAAATTTAAATAACGTCTACGATGCGAGCAATAGTTATTTAATATTATTGTCATTTTCTGTCATCGTTATTCATCGTAATGAAAGTGTGAATTGTCATTTACACAAATAACGATATATTTCATCCACAAATAATGGTATAATAAAAATTGTGATCATAATAAGACGTTAAAACTGTTATTTACATTTTTTTAATAATATATTTATAAATTTTATAGCATATTTATTGAATTATAACTAAAATATGTGAAAATTTTTATTTTAGCCTATAAATGTAAGATTAAAATATTATAAATTATTTTAAATATAATAAAAAATATTATTATATTAAACTATTCTTTTGCTTTATTTTATTATAGATTGTGAAAATTTTAAGAAAACTAACGATTGCAATAAGAATGACTATTATTATCTTATCTATTATATATATATAACTATGATATATACGATGTGACCAAAAATATGGTCACGATCAAATTTTAAATCCCTAAGTTAATCTCTTGAATATCAGTGGGCAATTGGTCAAAAGACTAGAAATATTTATTGCTTGCCAAGCATGTTTTAACACATATATTAGTTTGAATCAAATCTTGTAAACTCAAAGGTAAATGAGAAGAGATTTGGTATGTGGATTGGATGGATGGGCGTGTGGCATGCAAATCTCGCATATGTGGGCTTTTTTGTGTATTAATCCAAGATATATAGGCTCTAGTTTGATAGATTCCTGAGATTTGAAGGAAAAATCTCTCCCTTTGGATTTTCTTAATGTTCTTTTTCCTCAATTTTCTTCCTTCAATTTGCAGAATTCTCCTACATATAGCTAGCTATTTCTTCATTATCCCACTTGTCCCACTTGTTCAATTCATCCCTTAGCTGCAAACTTGTAAAATAAATTCAAATCGTCGTAAATTCAACTTCTTTTCTTTGAATAATGGAACTTATATTAATCATTGAACAAAATATTCTGAGTAAGAGAATTTTGCATTTCGTACATATATCAAACTAACCCAACATTACTTGTTCTTAATGAATAAATTTCAAATACTTCAATCATCTTAATATGAAATAAGAACTTCTGATTTTTTTAAAACTCTTTACTATCAAGTTAAACGTATAAAATTATTAAATACGTAATTTTATGATTATTATAATTAAATTTACGCTTGAAGAAATTTTCATATAAATTATGTGTGTTTGAATTTAAATTTAAATTTTTAAAATTTATATTTTAAAAATAATTGTATGAACTAATTAAATTAAGTCCCAAACTAAAAAAATTGACTTCAAATTTTAATTACTTATTATCAAGTAAAATTGTGCAAGTAATATTTTATAATTATGCTTTTTTTATGGTTGTTGTAAAAAAAAAAAAAAAAAAAAAGGAAACAAAAAGTTTAGTCACATGAGACAAAACAAAAACCAGTCTAGAATAAGAACAAAGACTCATTAAATTAATAGAATAAAATAAAAGGCACAATCTCACCAAGTTGAAGTGCATGCACCCCCAAATCCTATAAATGCCCATTCCAACCCCTCACATTTCCCTCACTCTCGCTCCCCAACCAGACACTTCGAGAAGAAACTCAGAGTCATGGCTTCGTCAGCTCTGTCTGTTACTTTGGCCTCAAAATCAACCATTTTCCCAGACCGAAAATCGAATTTAGGAGACATTAAACTCTCAGTTTCAGATCTCCCAATGCTGTCTTGTCATTACATCCAAAAAGGTTGTCTCTTCACGCGCCCTCCCGTTCCCTTCGACTCACTCGTTTCCCTTCTCAAACAATCCCTTTCCAAAACGCTGTCGTTTTTCCCTCCTCTCGCCGGCCGTCTTTGCACCGACCGAAAAGGTTATATTTACGTTACTTGCAACGACGGCGGCGTTGAGTTCTACCACGCCTCGTGTGCAAGTTTGTTTATCCGTGACGTCATTGGTCCCCTCGATGTTCCCAAGTTCGTTCAGAAGTTTTTCTGTTTCGACAGCACGGTTAGTTACCAAGGGCAATTTAGACCAATCATGGCCGTCCAAGTCACTGAACTCGGTGATGGAATCTTCATCGGATGTTCTGTGAACCATGCGGTGACTGACGGCACGTCGTTTTGGAATTTCTTCAACACTTTCGCCGAAATTTGCAGAAAAATAATAATAATAATAATAATAATAATAATAATAGTAATAATAATAATAATAATCAGAGCATTGAAAAAATCGCAAGGCAACCGGTTTTTTTGCGAGACTCGGTTTTGATTTCATCGGCGATTTTAAGAGTGCCAGAAGGTGGGCCCAAAGTTACGTTTAACGAAAACGAGATATTACGGGAGAGAATCTTCAGTTTCAGCCGAGAAGCCATTTTGGAACTCAAAGCCGAAGTCAACAAGAAGAAGGGGGAGATTCTTATTGACGGAAACTTTAACGCCGTTGAAATTCTCGGGAAGCAAAGTAACGACAAGTACCATAACGGTAACGGGAAGAATTGGTTGTTCAAAACCTCGGCTTCGGTTTCAAATACGGCGGAGATTTCGTCGTTTCAGTCACTTTGCGCTCTTCTCTGGCGAGCGGTGACACGTGCGAGGAAGCTTTCGTCTTCCCAAACGACGACGTTCAGAATGGCGGTGAATTGCCGTCACAGGCTGAACCCGCAGCTGGATCCTTTATATTTCGGGAACGCGATTCAAAGCATTCCAACGTACGCGTCAGCAGGTGACGTCACGTCACGTGATCTACGCTGGTGTGCGGAGCAGTTAAACGAGAGCGTGAAGGCCCACAACGACGAAACGGTGCGGCGTTTTGTCAAGGAGTGGGAGAAGGATCCGCGCTGTTTTCCGTTGGGCAACCTCGACGGCGCGTCGATGACGATGGGGAGCTCTCCGAGGTTTCCAATGTACGATAATGATTTTGGGTGGGGACGGCCGTTGGCGGTTAGGAGCGGTGGGGCCAATAAATTTGATGGGAAGATCTCCGCTTTTCCAGGGCGGGAGGGAAATGGGAGCGTTGATCTGGAAGTTGTTTTGGCGCCTGAAGCGATGGCTGGGATTGAATCTGATCTTGAGTTCATGCAATATGTCTCCAGTTAATTTTAACGGTCGTGATGGTGATTTGAGGATTACGTGTTTTAAATCAGACCGTTGATGGACTCGGGATGGCTGAGCCGGAGTTCGGGATAGGGTGATTTTTTTCTGTTTTGAACTTTTTAATCAGTAAATTTGAACTAAGTGTCCGAAAATGCTGCTTTTTTTTTTTTTTTTTGTATTTCTTTTAAAGAATCGTTTAAGTTTATGGTTTTCACTTGCTCTCATTTGCCCAAAACAAAAGGCAATTGTTTTTTTTTTTTTTGAATAATTCTGATTTTCCCTTCATAAATGAAGTTTAAGACTGCCATTAATCATATAAAATCATTGGTAAAGAGTAAAATATTAAAATTTTAATTTTTAATTTTAACGATGACAAATTAATTCGAATAATATTAAATAAAAAATTCTCATCAAAGGATATGGCTATAACTGGATAAGGAAGAATTTGATGATGGTTTTCGATTTAGCCTTTAAATTTAGGTTGTATAAACAATTGGCCAAAAAAATATACCTTAGCTTGTATAAATTGGGATAAGGAGATTTGTTGGCTAAGTTGATAAAAAATAAGTCAAAAAAAAAAAAAAAAAACAAAGGAAAGCTACCCGTCTGGTTTTTCTGATTTCATGATAAAAAATGGATGGGTCAACTCTGCTGTAATTTTCAAAAAATTGAACCTCAGTAGTGCCATTGCAGTAGCATTGATGTCATTTTTTTTCTGTTTGTTTTCATAGAAGGTGCTGAGATTTTGAATCAAGACTTATTAAATGTTATTTTTTAATGAAAAAATCCAAAAAAAATTCATAAATAGATAGATTGCTATTAAAACAAAATGTCTTAAAGATGATTTCAATAAAAAGTCACCAAGTGGATTCGATTAGAGGTTATCTTTTAAAAATAATTACGGAAATCAATTAAACTAATATCTAAATTCATTAATATCACATTTTCGGTAGAGAAAAAGGGCAAAAAAAATCTAAAATAGAGAAGGAATGAGTCAGATGTTAAAGTTTCCTATATCAACCAATTATTGCAGCCATGAAGATTTCATGTGAATGCTAATCTGTGGGTGTATTCACTGAATCCAAATATCAAGTGACTGACCAAGGCACATGAATCGATTTATTGCTTAGGTCCACTAGCATGGAAAATCACCAGAAGCTTTTGTTCTTTTTCATGAGACAAATGGAAGAAAAAAGTGCATCTATAAAACCATGGCATTAGCATTCAAGTGCCAAATGTGTGATAACAAAATGCTTAAAGAAACGAAGGGAAAATGGTAACTAATGAAGAGAAATTGAGGAGGGGGGGGGGGTGGAAAGGTGGATGGTCAGCTGAAAACAGGCAGCAAAATCAGGGGAGGAACACATATTCTTGAGATCAAATTATCATAGGAATACATTGTAAAAGCAATAACAGCTTGAATGTTGGATATGACTGTTTGGGGGACAAAGGCTTCTATGGATTATTGATGACAAACCAATTACAAGACGACACGTTTTTTTAGCTCGAGGCGCTTGTTTCATGGAGTTTTTTCTCTTTGCTTATCGATCACTTGAGGAGATTAAACTATGTTTTTGTACCTATGACTAATCAGTTCAGTTTGCACCAACCCGAAACTACGACCTATAATCAGTTCATGCTACTTTTCAGATCGTTCAAATATTTGTACTTCTTGACAGGACATGTAACTTAAATGTGAAATTTATCGATTCATGCATAAATCAAGTAATTCAAAAGAAAAATAAAAATCACATTAATAAATTATCACATCAAGTAAGAAAAATAATATTTAGATCTCAAAGATTTTAATTCCCTGTTCTGAATACAAAAACTTTTTAAGTGAAAAATGCCCACAATTCACGAAGTATGGCAGCCTATGACCAGAAAGTTATCACTTACAACAGAAGTTACAGGATCTGAGCAGCTGTGTTCAACTTTTCTGCTAAGCCGAGTTGTGTCCTGGTGATGCTTGACAAGTATAGTAACAGCAACTGATCCTGCATTAGGCAAGAGCCACAAGAATTAGAGCCGTATGTAACATTCCAGAAATGAAAGGATTTTAACACTAACAAGAAATAACAAGATTAATATCAAGAGGTCGATGCCAAAGCACCAAAGTTTTATTTCAATGTCAACTTTTAAACCATTGTTATGATACTCAGAAACATATTAAACTTAAAGTTACCTGAAGACCATCATTCACAAGCTTATCAAAAGCTGGAGGAGATATTTTAGGTAAGCATGCTACCGTATCTGATATAAATCTACCTATGCTGTTATCTGCTGGAATGCGCCCTTCCTGAGAATGAAAACAAATGTTATATATGGCAGCAGCTCAGAATAAAATAAAGACGATAGAGTAAAATACGTACCACAACATCATCAACGTATTTGTAGACATCATCTATCAATGCCAATAGTCTTTCCATTGTGACTTCCATTCCTTCCAAATCATTTGGCAGTTTGTCAACCGCTGTTGTCTTGAGGATGTCAACTATATTTTATAACAAATTTCATTAATTAGATTGAATCAAAACAAAAAAATCTCAATTATATTGCATCAAGATTTCTTATACGCAGTCACAGTGAAAGAAAGATGATAAATCATGCAGGGTAGAACTACTTAACTACTAACATATAAATATTCCTCTTCATCAGAAGCACTATAGAATAAATGTCTGAGGGGGGATGTTGAGCTTCTGCTACCATGTTGATTCAGTTATCATTCTAAACACCCCAAAGAAAAAGAAGATATAAGAATACTTTGAACCTCAAATTGTAAAGCAGCATTAGTTGCCAGCACAATTATCAGGATACTTGTATTAACTCTTGGGGCCCAGACTTAACAAATTTTTTAAAAAAAAGGTCGTTTTCAGAATAGATTAATAGTTCAATACTCAAATGGCATATAGTCTAAAAAATAAAACACCCCCACCGAGAAGACTTTAGACAAAGCCCTGAAAAACAAAGACCAGATACTAACGTTGAAGCCACAGCACTCCCTCAACCCTCCAACACACCAACCACCCAAAGATGTATATTAAATACAAATCATACAGGGGCCAACTGATCAGCTTCAGGCATTCCTCTACCTATTGCAGCTACAAACCTTCTTAAACAGGCATAGGGCCAGGTGAGAATGCGTTCAAGTGTGCACGCACACGTGTGTGTGCTTAGAAAGGGAGATAAAAAATAGACAATATCTTAATGGATACAACATGGTATCTAATATAGTTTAAGTGTATGCATACATCCGACTTGCTCAGCTTCAATCATACGTAGATCAAGAGGAATTTCTTGAAATTGAGCAGCAAGTTGTCGGTCTCCAAGAGCTAAATTCACAGAAACGTAAGCCTTTATGGTACCCTCTCCATTCCTAAATCCCGTATCCACCGTGAGATGAACAGGGTTAGGCACTTCCCTAGAATAAAAATCATGGATCAAAGCACTACTGCCTGTGACTCCAAGCCCAGTAGAATACCTGGAAAGTTACACAGAATTAATAGCTAAGTTGGTACTGTTACGGAAATATACAAACTTGCATATGGTAGTCAATCAGTTCAACTGTGACAGCGGAAAAAAAAAAAGATATTGTAGAGACGATTTTAATATGATCATTAGTCCTATATTTGCATAACACCTTACTAGAACTGAAGAGCTTCAACAATAAAACTTGGTAGGGAGATGAGAATTACCATCCAACAATGACTTCTTTTGGATTCACTTTTTGGTGGGAGACTAACATATTATGATGGTATTCGATATCCAAAGCAACCTGCAGCCATACCAAACTGAACAATTACAAAAGCAATTAAAAATAAAAGTACAACCGCTCTAAGCCTATGAAAACATGTTGTCTTTATTATTACCTAGCAGACTTCAGAGCAAACATAACTATTCCATATCACTTAAAAAGTCAACTTTTTTAGGTCAATAATGAATAACATGAATACGAATAGAACTTGTGATTCGTGTCTTTGTATCTTGTAAAATATTAAAATTTGTGCTGTATTTTACATGAAAATTGCATGTGATAATTTGTATCAACACAAAATATTAAATATATATTTTTAGTTATGTTAAACCCATATATAGTAATTACTAAAATTTTAAACCGTGACACCTATGTTTTGTATTTTCATATCGTGTAATCGCGTCGTATTTTAGATTGCCAGGTCTAAATACGAATGAAGCACGCAAAGCAGTGAATGTAAAAGATTCCATCTTTATCAGTCAGACAATGGTAACACTTACTTATAGATCTCTAGCAAAAAACCAAACTTTAAAACTTAAAAAAAATACAAAAATTTTTACGAGACCTGTTCGGAGGATTCGGTGTGAGGAACAGCATAGGAGTTACGGATATCGACGGTGCCGTCAAGGAGGACGGAACCGAGTAGCGTTCCGATGACGCGCTCGGCTTGGTCAGGACGCCTGACGTAACAATCGCATATGTTAAATATGACGAGAGGGTGAACCTTCGCCGACACGCTCGCCGTTGCCGGCGCATTGAACTGTAAAACCGTATGATTGCTGGCCGCCATCTTGTGTCTCCGATCTTGTCCTTTTGGTTTCAGACTGTGAAGGAAGTGGCACTAGGACGACAGTTTAGGGTTTTGGTTTCGGGGAGATGATTCGAATTTTAATACTATTTATAGAAGCTGAATATTATCCGTCTCGGAGCCAACATCGGCCCGTGTTATTTAGGCCGTATGTTTTCCATCTCAGAGCCCAATGTTGGCCCGTGCTATTTAGGCCGAATATTTTCTATCTCAGAGCCTAATGTTGGCCCGTTTCTTTATGCTGAAGGAAAATTAACCGTGAGAAAAAAATTAAGAAAATCGAAATCAATTCGAAACATTAATGTTTGATTTAGTTTGGATCAATTTTTTTATTCAGTTCAGATTAAATTTCAGATATTAAATATATATAGTAAATTTGGATTGAATTTCAGATCAAAAAGTAAAAAATAGAACCAAATTGAATTATATATATTAATTTTTATATATTTTAAATTTTTATAAAATAAAATAATAATTTTATATTAAAATTTACTTAAATATATTAAAATAATATATAAAAATAAAAAAATAAAATTTAAAAATTGATAAATTGATAAATTAAACCAAACTAAACTTGTAATATTCGTAAGTACAACCACAAAGGGAAAGGTTCATCGGTTAAATTAGTCGAGTTCTGACAATAAATTTTGCTTAATCAATTTTGTACTCACTTTTGGTCCATAGGGACTCATTGATGAAGAGAAATTAGACTTTTTCGATGTACCATACCATACACCATCCCCAGAAGAAGTTCAGTCTTTGAAGATCAAAATGTATGGTCTGGCCCTGAGTCAAGAGCTAAAGGCATCAGAGCCCTTTACAGAACCCATGCTTTCACAGCAGATTGGAGAAGGTGTTATGAACAAGTTATATGCTAAGGTTTCAGAGATTCTAGTTGAGGATTTCATGCAGGGAGATAATCACCAGTCCTAGTCATTTCAAATTGAATACTATATAAGACAGATAAGAAAATGATACGAATAAAAAATATAAAAAAATAAAGTTTAAAATTTTAATAAAAATTATAAATAGATTTAATAAAATAAAAAAAATATTTTATATTTTCGTATTGATATGAATTATAACACATGATTTTTATTTAAAATATGATACGAATACACAAATTTTTAATATTTTATATGATACAAATATATAAATTATCAAATCTATAATCAAATAAGGGGGTGTTAGTATTGTTGTTATTATGAACAAAAGAAATAAAAAAAAAATCTGACCTGAGCTGGGTTTGTGTCATTCAAGAGAATAATATTTGGAAGAAACAATTTCATTGGAAAAAAAAAAAGTCAAACCGATGACATTTGCATTAGCTTGGCAAGGAGAAATGTCAGCTTAACTTATCTACATCTTTTGATAAGCAGAGCTATGATACAAGCAAAATATAAAATACTAATAATTCATATATTTATATTATATCTCACAGGCACTGCCATCTTTCTTCAAGGTAGCCGAGGTTTTGAGTAGTTACTATTATTGAAAATGACTTGTTAATATTATAACGAAAAGAACACAGGAAACAAATTGATTGCTTCAAGCCAAGTGGAAAGCGATGAGACTTGGACAAACTGGAGACTTGGACAAACTGGTCAGGTAGCATCTGGTATTGTGCTAGCAGAACCTAAAACCAAGCTTTGGCATATGCTTTCTGGTTGATGCAAGCAGGCTAAAATATAATTGGTTTAAGAACTGAAGCTCTCTGCTGATTTGTTTTGGTTTATTCATATAATTTGTGATGAGGCAAATACACCAAATCCTGCAGCCTATACCAATTTTAACCCTTTCTGATATCTGGTAAACAAATTATTTGAATTGGTAATTCACAGCATTAAAATTTTCCCCATTTATGAATTTCACCTGATCAGTGATCACTTCCACAGCTATTGATATAATCTTTAAACAAAAATTTATAGTGGGTATATTCGCTAAATATGCAAATATATACTGACATTCGATTCGATCATTGATTAAATGATTAATGACTTAAAAGAACAGGATTTGAATTCCTTTCTCGAATTTAAAAAATGTATTCACTTGTGAATTGATAAGATCAATTATCATATATAGAGCTAGTACTTGCTTCCTACTCAATGTTATTGTATTAGAATCACAGCTCAAAGCAGCAATATAATAGGAGAAATAGACAATGGAGCAGGTTTTGGTTGGTGTTATTATGAAAATGACATTTCACAAATCACAGCCATCATACAAAGAGAATGCCCACTCACTTTGAGATGAGTCCATTGGCTATCAGCGACCCTCACATTTTAGCTTATAGAAAACAAGGTAAAAGGAAGGCTCCCCTCAAGCATAGATTACATTTTCTTACATACAAATAAGCAGGCACGCAAACAAACTGATGTTTTTTTCAGTTTATCTTAAGATAAAAAGACATGAATGGCCATAAATATGATAATCACAATCATGACCATTGATCTGATCACTTTGATTTGAAAGGAATGGCTCTGATCACAACTTGGTGGTAGAGAGCTGCCAGTGCTGCCCCGATGAATGGACCCACCCAGAAAATCCACTGCACTCAACCCAAACCAAAGTAGATAAGCATATCATCCAGAGTCAGCAAAAGTGAGGGGGCAAAAATAGTGAAGTGGGTGAGAAAATTTTAGAGGCTTACATGGTCATCCCAACCCTTGTGCTTGTTGAAGATGATGGCTGCACCCAGACTACGAGCTGGGTTAATACCGGTTCCTGTAATTGGGATGGTGGCCAAATGCACCAAGAACACTGCAAATCCAATTGGCAAGGGTGCCAAAATCTAGCAACACAAAATTCAGCCCTCCATTAGTAATTAAATCAAATAACTTGATCTTCCATTTCTAACAAATAATCTTCAAATTGTACATAATTCAATGATTCATTTAATAAATTTTTGGCGGATTGACTAGATGTTCATGCACAGCTTACTTCTCCATTTGTATCCGCCACCCGCCACTGTTGACGAGAAAGCGTGCATGTGAACCGATCATATATATACATATGTATGTATATATGTATGTATGTATTTGTAAGTACATAATTGTTGGGAAGGATCGAGGAAGATAACTTACAGGGACGTGAGAGTCTCTGGCATTGCGCTTGGCATCAGTGGCTGAGAAGACAGTGTAAACAAGAACAAAGGTACCAATAATCTCAGCACCAAGGCCATCTCCCTTGGTGTAGCCATGAGCCACAAAGTTGGCTCCACCACCCAAAACACCATACCTTTGCTTCCCCATGAATCCCTTAACCACACCAGCACCGCAGATGGCTCCCAAGCACTGCATGACCATGTAAAAAATTGCCCTTGTCAAGGATAGTTTCCTTGCCAAGAACAGCCCAAATGTCACCGCCGGGTTGATGTGACCACCTATTCACCACACCACCGTCACCATAATAATTCTTCAATAACCCAATGATTAGTTCAAGTAAATCACTTTTTCTGGGTAAAATATCACTTCTATTCTATTGACATGTCAGTAGCAGGATAAACCCTGGAAAGCATATGATGAGTTGGGAAAATCAAGCTCAGGAAAGTTTTTAATTTTTATCAGTTTCTTCATCCTGTTTTTCTCTTTGGAAAGAACCCAAAAAGAAAATTTGTTTCTTGAGAATCAAACAAGGGAAAAGAAGAGAGAGAGAATTACCTGAAATTCCAGCAGTGCAGTAAACAAGAGCAAAGATCATGCCACCAAAGGCCCAAGCGATCCCTTGAATCCCAACAGTAGAGCACTTAGTTGCTCCCTTAACAACTCCCATGACTGTCAAAATGGTGATATACAAGAAAAGGAAAGTAGCCACGAACTCTGCAATCCCAGCCCTGTAAAAAGACCACGAGGTCAACTCACTAGGCTCAAAAAGTGGCGCTGGTGGTGGTTCAGTGTAGTCCTTTCCATCATCTTGGCTCTGAGCCACAGTTCCAATAGGCTGCCTCTCTGAAAACTTGTTGGCTCCTAATCTAACATCCTCTTCTTTGCCCTCCATTTCCCTTCTTCTTTCCTCCTTATTGTTGAACTCTTACAAAACAAAATAACTATAAAAGCCAAAGCAAGAAAACTGAAAACTCAGTGCTTTTTTGGTTAGTGGGATGTTTGGACTCAGCCACTAGGGTGTTTTTATAGGTCAAGTTGGATATGAAATGGTGGGGTTAAGCTTCAGCTAGTATAATAATTAATTGAATTTAATTTTTGCTTATTTATTTATGAATTCTGACCGACCAATTGTCTGGCATTTTCTTTGGGGTTTAATGGAGCAATATTTTTGTTATAAACGACAATGGGGTGGCTGCAGACATTTGAGTTGGCTCAATGTTGGGCACAACTATGTGAGCTGACGATCATCAAGCACCGCCCATTGCCACTATCGTGACAGAATTCAAGTTGGTTCAAGCAGCATTATAGTAAGAACTGTTATTTTTTTCTATATCTGCAGCCTTACCAGGGTAGACAGGTGAAAATGTTAAAAAGAAACATATGTTCAAGGACAAGTAATTGAGAACATGACAATGACAGGATTTCAAACTACAGTTGCCATTATTGTTCGAGCAAGTTCCATGAACGGTGGACCAATTTTTCGGTTGAGTTGAAAAAAAAACTTGATGACCATGTTTAGCTCGCTGCTCGTGGCCTTGTACATGGAAACGTGGGTAACAAAAATTCCAGGGTATGGGGCGGAGTGGACGTAAGCTTGTTACACTGTTGATGAAGTGGAAATTAGAGGAAAATTATATTGTCCCTAAGTAGGATTAATTAGCAGTAAAATGTCATTTTCTTCTTTTTTAATAGAAGTTTAAGGGAGGGCAGGTTTTTCATTTTAGGATCAAAGCAAATCTCAGGTCTAAAATAAAATTTATATTAAATTTATTGATTGTCTATCAAGAAAGATTGTAGGAATCAACCCATTGGCTATATATATATATATAATATATATATTTGGTTGTGGGTGTTTAGCAATTTCTTCAGCTGGTTGATCAAAATGGGGATAAGATCTGTTTGCTTGACACTGATAGGCAAGCATCTAAGACATTTCAAGATGCCTTTAGGCTTTTGAATATCCTTCTATGTAGAATTTACTCTTTACTTTTTTTTTTTATTCTCTTCCATTTCCACTAGGTTAAATTCATATATGAGTTAGAGTTTCTCATTTTCATGCACAAAGTAATAGAGAAAGCCACCTACTTATTATATTGTTGTTGATCCCTTTAAATGTGATCTTGGTTTTATATGAGACAACAATTATCCCCTAAAAGTACAAAGAAATACAGAGAATAAACTGTCATCCAGGCAGCTTATTTTGGAAGATAATGGTAGGCTCACGTAATTTGATTATATTAATTTCTGTCATCTAATCTCTTTTCTATTAATCAATTCCTGTGATTATGCAGTGACATGCATGTGGATAACAAAAGATAATGGCATGTAATGTCAGAATCTCTCAGCTTTGTCATTTTATGCTGGCTGAAGATTTAGGTTAGAGATATCATATTTATATATTGTGGAAATAATTTGTCAGTAAACATGCAAATTGGCCCCCACTCTTAGTCAGCTTCAAGCTCCACAAGGGAGAGATTTTCCTAGTTCAGAACTTGTAGCAGTGGGGCCTTGGGGCATGTTTTCGGAGGTCTATTCAAGCATTTGGGTTGTCATAATGAAAATGGCACCAAGGTTCCAGCACAATCCCCGGGGAGGGGGGTGGGGGGGACTGCTTTCCATTGCATGGTCCTGGAACGTGTGAAGTTCAAAAAAGTTGTGGTCAGCTTGAAGCTGAACCTCATGGTGTCTTGCCTTTAGTCTCACCTTTAGTTTAACTTTTGTGATTGCCCAACACTAGGGTTTCAGATTCTTTCAAAATGACTCAGTCCATTCATATAGAAGAAGCTTTCTATTTATCTTGCTAATTTAAAAATGGGTATTCAAATATGCATTCTGTGCAATGAGCATTTGGCTAACATTTCCAATATATATATATATATATATATATATAGTAAAAGAAATCAACCAAATAAACTATTCCAAATGCATTTAAAAAATATTTGGGTGGCTAGGTGACCAGAAGGTAATGATTCATCCTAAAATTATAAACTATCAACCAAGTGTTATGGTTGCTTTACATTACATTGTTTAACATTTAGGATAAGATTAAGTATCCACCTCAACCGCCTTTACAATGAAGGCCACAGCCTATTTTGTTGGTCTGGCCGAATCATATCAAATGGCTCCTGCTGAGCTAATACTGCAATATTCAGCACAAACTAGTTTGAAATTAAGGTACCTTAGCTAATTATTAAATTAATAAGAGTTGACGCAAATAGTTAAAATTTAGGGTTTGGATGTGAAACATTCAAGTTTGAACTCTTATGATTTTTGGTTGATAGATGATTTATAAGTCTAACATATCCCAAAAGATCCATAAATCCTTTTGTGAATTGATGATTTACTTTAACTTTTGAGATGGAATATCTCTCATTCTTCTAAACAATTTTCAGGATATATATATATAAAAAAGAAGCTAATCACAGGTTGCAGTTTTGCTGAAGAACCTGAGGACCTTTTATCTTATGTGCTACTGCAAGCCCAGTCGATTAGACCATAGTCTTTCAAACCCATAACTTCTATGGGTCAACAACGAGGCCTGCAATATCAGCAGCTTTAACCACTTGGGCCTAGCCTTGAAGATTAGAACAAAAGTTTCATCGTCAAAAACCCATAAAATTATCTTCTTTAAACAGCAGTTTTTAATTATAGGAGCCATGAAAGTAAATTAGTAAGATAGTTGTAATCCTAAATCTTTATTGTAATAAACACAAACTTAGTCAAAGAGACTGAATCCCGTATCGTCTTCAGACTCGTCTTCAGGTTCTGCTTTCTTCTCCTCCTCGGCAACAGCAGCAGCAGGAGCAGCACCAGCATCAGCAACTGCAAACTTACTTGGATCCTGGATGCATGCAACAATTCACTTAGCTCACAGGATTATAGAAATTCAAAAATAATTCACCATATAAAGAGTCAATTCCATACCGCCAAGTACTCCTTCACTTTGTCAGCCGAGGGAATGAATACTCTGTTGCAACTCCAAGAGCCAAGACATTCTTGTAGGCATTGATGAACATAATGGTGCAGCAGCAATGGTTGGGCATGAGATGGCAAGAGACAGTGCAGTAACCATGGATAAACCAGTAGCAAATTTCTCAATCAGGTCATCTTCGGTAAGATCTAGCACCTCAGGGCTAAAGACTGAGCCATTGTCATACACAGACAGGACAACAAGACCATATAAGAAGGGCCTAATTCCACGCTTAGCAAGAAGTGCAGCCTCAGAAGACACAACCTTGTCACCCTTATTGACAAGCTCCAGAGGAGTGATAATTTCAACAGCACCCTTGTTAATCTTTGTTGGAATGTTGAGCACCTAAATGTAACAGAAAATTAATAATACGAGCAATGATTGGTTTCAAAATTAATGTATTAAAGTACAGTAATTTTGCTTAATCTATTCATAAACTTCGATGAATTAGATTACAATAAATATCAACAAAGATTGATTAAATTGATAAGAATTGAATATTTCATTTGTAAGATTTAAGTTTAATTATCGTTGTTAGTAATCTAGCAATCGATAAGTTCAATGTCATTGAGGATTGCTGTATCTGATCTTGAATTAAATGATCATGATAAATGGATTAATGAGATTGCATTAAATGATTATTTTAAGATCACCAATTAAGGAAATAAAGTTTAAATGATTCTTTTAAGGTCACCAATTAAAGGAACCAAACTTTATTTCCTTCTCATTTTCAGAATCATTTGAAAATTAATGTAGAAAAATGATTTAAAATGGTTTTTTATTTTTTGTGAGAATGTTTTTCTATGATTAATTTTCAAGAACTGATATAAATAAAAGACTTACTTAAGCTCCATTTGAAACATTTGTAACTTATTTTGAACTCAATTTTTTATTTTTATACTTTTAACTCAAAATTGACCTACAAGAGTATTTTCTTTTTTCTTTATAAGAAGTTGAGAGAATAATTGAGCAATTTATTATTGTAACAATTGTTTAATTGCGTCTGACTCACAACTCGAATTTAATTTTACTATTATTATTATTATTATTATTATATTATTATTATTATTATATTATAAGTTGGTCAATTATGGGGTTTTTAGATAACACGACCTTCAACCTTGACCTTGCCCAATTATACCAAAAAAAAAGTTTTTTTTTATTTTATTTAAAAACATTTTAAATACTATTGAAATTGGAAATAATTAAAAAAAAAAAACCTTTTTATATAGTATTCTGTTAGCAATATAGGTTATTTTAGTTTTAAAAACAACAATTTGATTGTAATTATAATTTTTCCTTATATATATAATCTCGTAAAAATAACACGTTACATAAATTTATTTTTTACAAAAGAGATCATAATCTGAAATAAAAATAAAATTTACAACATTGATTTGAAACTTAAATTTGTTAGATAAATAACTTTATAAATTAATTTGACTAAACCTCTGTAATTTTTCCATTTTTTTACTCTCACTATGTTACTAATTAGTATAACTAATCTATTTTTTCCTATTTTTAGCTCACTTATTTCCAAACACATATTATTTGATTTTTATTTTTGGAAATTGATATTAGCGCATAAAGTAAAGTTGTGTATGGGATTTTGACTAGAAACTATATAAAACAAAATCCCCACAACTCAAAATAAAAAAAAAAAAAACCTACAATATTTATTCTACCAAACACTTGAAAATCAAGTGGTTGGTAGTGATAAGATTTTTATATGACAATACCTCCATATAAATGTTGTTTTATTGTGCATTTCAAGTTTTTAGGATTTAGTGGTTGATTGCTCAAAAGACTCATATCAGATTTTGACATTTTGATTCAAATGGCAAAATCATTAATGGAAGCCACTAATTTTTCCTGTAGGAGTTTGGTGAAAAAGGGTCTAATTTTTCTTGGTCAGTAATCTCCATTGGCTTTGCCAAAAATGCTTTTTGTTTTGCTTCTATTAATTGTTTTTGGAAAACATTGATGGTAAGATTGACAAAAATTTCCCATGACATCTTACCATAAAATTGATCATCAATTCATCATCAAGATACTTTATTTCTTCTATCATATTTTTCAATGTATTATA